ACATAGCTAATAAATGTTATAATGATGTGGGCCTTCTTTATTTGGTTGGCTTATTTGTAAGTGTGGATTTAATATTCTGATTTTCAACGACTTAAGTTGAATGGAGTCTTACAGCACCAGACACAAGACCTAGCTTATGTTTTATTTCTTCTACCTTTGCTACTTTTTGCTTTGCAGAGTCCTGACTGAGTCAGGCCCCGAGGGAAGATGGGCCCATAATTGGATCCATGATCCTGTGCCCCAAACATTAGATGGGATGGAATGATGGAAGCTGTTCACTAGGGTGGAATGAGCTGCTTTTGCCAATTACAGACAAACATCTAATAAACAACCAGCCCTTGAAATCATAGTAAGGGTGAGGAGAGGTGTATGTGTGTGCCTGTGTGCATTAATGTATGTGTGTGGGGGGGGGTTGGGCTGTGGCAAAAATGTATATAGCTCCTATTGCCTGTTCTTGGGACACAAGGAAAATCTTTCTCTCTCTCTCTCTCTCTCTGAGGGAGAGAGGGAGGGGCTGGGGCAGAGGGAGAGAGAGAATCTTACCTAGTGTGGAACCTGACGTGGGGCTTGATATCACAACCCTGAATCATGACCTGAGCTGAAATCAAGAGTCAGATGCTTAACCAACTGAGCTTCCCAGGTGCCCTGAGAATCTTAGTCTCTTAATTTGAGCTTTCATCTTCCCTCTACTTTTGAATTCTATATCCATGTTCCCACTCCTTCTTGTACTTGTAAATTTTAAAATTATTTGGTATGAACACCTTGGAAGTGAGTCATTTTCCCCAGCTTATTGATGAGAATTGATAAGAGGATGCTGGGAGATGGTAATAGAAAAGGCATATGGGAGGGGTGCCTGGGTGGCTCAGTCGGCTAAGCGGCTGCCTTCAGCTGGTCATGATCTCAAGGATCCTGGGATCAAGTCCCACATCGTGCTCCCCAGTCTGCTTCTCCCTCTGTGCATGCTCTCTCTCTCTCTCTCTCAAATAAATCAAATCTTTAAAAAAAAAAATTAAAAAAAAAGAAAAGAAAAGGCATATGGGAGAAAAAACCTAATGCTTAAAAGGAAAAAGAGGGACAGTACAGTGAGAAATGTAACTGCCAAGTGGATTGACCACTTAACTTAGCTGGTTACTACATTATTTTCTTGGGTGAGAAACATATTCTGGAAATCAACTTAATTTTTAAGAGTAGTTCCAGAGCAGCAGAATCTGACCCTGTGAATCTTACCAAGCTATGATAGTTGGCTCAGTTACCTCCCCTTTAAACAAATACTAACATTGGATGGATGGGTTGTTGTGCTAATGACCTTCATGGTATTATATAACCACTTATTGATTCCTCATTATTTATGGTCATGATTCTATGGAGTTCTTCTCCCGGGGGTTAGGGATGGCCTGCGTAGACCAGGGGTTTCCATTGGAAGAGAGATGACACAAGCATCACTGCCTGGTCTGCTTTGGGATTCTGAGATGACCTTTAATTTTTCTAAGTTACATTTATTTCTCAATGTCTGTTAATCCCCCCCCCCCTTCAATCTAAGTTACTTTAGAAGTGTTTAGATTTTCAGGTGGCTTGGATTTGGGAGGTTTTGGATTGCTAAAATCTAGTGTTTGTGCTTCGTGTTCAAAATGTATTGCCTAATTTCTTCTTTTATCATTTATGGTATTTTCTTTATGGCCTAGTGCCTGATACTTTTTATAAATGTTTCTTTACAAAGATATTTATTATCTGCTCCTGGGACTGGTTCCATAGACATTAAACTTATATCATTGAAACATTCTTGACTACTCCAAGTGTTTCTTCTCTGATCCTAGCCTGTTGTACATTTTCACATTTCCCCTTTACATATCTCACTGGAGTTAGCGAGACGAAGGCAAGGAGTTTGGGAGCAGCATAGCTATTTGAGGCAATCCTAGAGCCACACATTAAAGAAGAGCCCTTTGCTCAGACTGATTTAGGTCCTCCTTCAGTGAGAATGAAAAAAAATTTTTTAAATGTTGCCCTTAATGAATTGGCTCTTTGAGGAACACTCCCCACTCTTTTTCTTTCAGTCTGTCTTGATTACTTCAGTTCTTTTAATTAAAGGAGAGAAGAGACGATCATCTTAGAGGAATTTAGTCTATGATAAAGGATAAAGAATAGCTTATTGCTGTCTGTGTTAATCTTGGGAATGGGCTAGAGGGGAGATAGAGAAGGGGTTCAGCCTGATCCATTATGAATGGGGCATGTTGGAGATTAATTGGTTGATTTCTTTCTGTGTTCTTTCTCTTTTTATCTCTGCACACACCCTGTTTTATGAAATGTGATACTCCTCTTGCCTTATATTGAGTTTGATTGTTGCACAGTGGTGAAGAGTCCTGGCTCTGGAGCTAGTCTGCCTGGGTTTGAATCCTGTCTCCACTGCTTGTTAGCTGTATGATTCTGGGCAAGTCACTGAATTTCTTTCTCTTGATTTTTTTCATCTGTTAAATTGGAAATAGTACCTACTGCATAGAATTGTTGGTGGGATTAAATGAGATATAATATGTGAAAATGCTTAGAACAGTACATAATAAATGTACCCAAAGTGCTTAGTAAATGTAAGCTATTATTATTCCATTAGGCAGATGGAGAGCCTGCTTCACATTTGCCTATGACCTTACATCAATTTGGATAAAGAATAAATTTCAACTGCCTAACCAAAAAAAAAAAAAAAAAAAGACTAAATGTTAATTGCCTGAATTTTTAAAACAGCCAAATAGATGAACCTTTTGAGTATTATTGCAGGGACCACAAAGATTAATCATTGTTGTCACTACTTAAATGATGGTTTGCTTTTTGGAGGAAAGGCTATCATTTATAGATGCTTTCATAATTCATATGTGCTGAGTTATACAGTTCTCCATGTAGATGGTCTTATTTTTAAGCTTTATTAAAGTTACTGTAACAAAAAGAGGATTAATTACAATTTCTCCTAATGATTTTAACCTTAATGTTACATTAATAAGATGTTTTTCCCTACGCAGCATCAAAACTTCCATTCAGCTTTGAGGTATGGGGTCTAGACGATTTAGAACTTCAATAATTAACCATAATGGACCTATGCATGTAACTAGTCATTGGTTAAGGATATATAGCTGTTTTCATAAGCAGCCTCGTTTAGTATTTTTTTAAAATTAGTTAATTTATTTTGAACACCTGAAGCAGGTAGCAATTAAAGAGAAAGCTTGGTCTGACTAAATTTAGTTCTTATAGTCTAAAGCTAGATTTTTTTTTTTTGAAAGTGATTAAGTATAGGGGCATAGATTAAGACATCTCACAGCTTAACTCAAATCTCAAAGTCTTTTATTCTAAGATACATTAATTAGGCTTTTGGGGACCTGTGGGGGTGGTGGTGGGAGGGGAAACATACTGGTTAAGAATAATTTCTGAATTTACATCTCGTTTTTAGCAGTGATGTTCTATATACCTTCAAAAATACTGACTATTTCTTGTTCCCTTGTATCTGGTAGAGAAATCCTATGTTTTCAGGTGTCCTGTCCACTCTTCTCTAGGTTTATCTTAAAGTTGATGTCAGTAGGCAGTGTTTTGGGGGAATTATCTGTGAGGTACTGGGTACCTGGGCTAGCGCTTGGGTTGTAGGATATGAGCAGGGGAAGAGGTCTGTAGAGAGGAGTCATGTGGACCCTTGAATAGGAGCCTAGCTCTCACTCCCTTCTGCTGGGGCTGCTGGTAGTTGTAAGGTGGGTGCTGTTAATTGTTGCACTTACCTCCAGAGACTAGGTGGCCCACGCTTTACGGCTGCTGTAAAGCATTTCCTGGGAGGCTGGCAACTGAGGATGGTTACAAGTGACTGGCCAAACATTGTTAAAGTCCTTCTTGAGTAGTACAAAGGGAATGTGGAAATGTGGTTAGGGACCTGGGCACTGTGCCCAGCTCCGTAACTCATTCATTGTGGCACCTCAGTGACTACCTCTTATTTTCTTTTTGGAAAAATGGAGAATAAGAATATAATGCTTACCTCTAAGAGTGTTTTGAGGATTAACGAGTTAATCACCTTGGGTGAAGGCAAGAGCTTACTCTGGTCATAATTTCATTGCCTTTGCAGAGAAGTTCCAGTGTGGGGAATAAAGTAGTGAAAATAAAACAGAAATTGAATGGGCTATCCACAATTTGGTATGTTTCAAGTCCAGCTGTAGATCAGGTTTTCATTCTAACTGGGGAATTTTAACCTAAAGTTTTTATCTAGTTTTTAGAAATGACACCAAACCAAATGTCTCATGTGCCATTTGTGGGAAAAGAACAGATGTTTATTCTGAGAGCATATTAATGAAGATGCTAGTGGTTTTCTCCCACTGTAAGGGAATAAGGTGGGTCAAAAGAGAGAGCATAGATTTAAGTAGAGTTTGCTCTTACTGTCCCATTACTGGTGTGTTCTTTTTGAGAGAATTGATATTACTTCATTTTGTTGGTTTTTCAAGTTTCTTTGACAAAGAAACTTCATAGATGTCAAGCCAAAACAAAACAAAATACAAACACACACATACAACAGTTGCTTTAAATACCAAGGATGTCAGCATGAAATTAAAATGAATTTACTGACATTTCTGCTTTGAAATTTTTTAATAAAACTAATTTAAACCAACAGTGACAACTTCTGGCTTTACCTTATAATGGGAAGTTTGACCTTTTTCAGTGTTTCTGGCTCAGGGGTTTCGACATGGGGGTGTTTTTGGTTAAAACGTGCTTCAACTCTCTAATGGCTCTTGGGATTTTGGTCAATCTTTGGTTGTGGAATAGCAAATGCTGTCCATTGTGTTGATACCATGCAGTTTTCAAAGACAAGGTCTCTGAAGTAGTGGCTGTGGTATCCCCTCCCGCCCATGTGTAATTGTTAAAAAGAACGCTGTTGTCATGTGAATTCTTATTTTTTGAGCTTGCTTTTGAAGTAACTTTCACAGAGAATTCCTGTTACCTAGAAATTGATGACAGACTTACACCATTTCCTTTTTTTTTCTTAGACGTTCCATCCTCAGAGCAGCCTGAACTGTTCCTAAAGAAACTTCAGCAGTGCTGTGTCATTTTTGACTTCATGGACACGCTATCTGATCTTAAAATGAAAGAATACAAGCGCTCCACTCTTAATGAACTGGTGGACTACATTACAATAAGCAGAGGCTGTTTGACAGAGCAGACTTACCCTGAAGTAGTTAGAATGGTGAGTTTCTTTTTTTCGCCGCGGACACTTTTAAGCACCTTCCATAGCGACTCACAGGTGTATTTATTGCAGAGTCAGGTCACTGGAGGTCACCTCCACAAATGAGAGCCAGCCTTCTGAGAGCTAAACTAAAGTAGTCGGAACAATACTAGAATTTGAAGAGTGTGATTTCAGGAGAATGAGATCCAGAACTTTTCGCCTACAACAGTACTGGAAGAATCAATGACTTCAAAATATGAAGCCAAGATTGCCAGGTATTCTTGGATTTCTGGCATTGTGAAAAGAAAAGCCACAGGAGAGTCAACACGAGTTGTAGATCTGTGTTTGAAAAATATTCAAGCGTGTTGGATGTCTTGATTTTTTTTTTTCTCCCTGTTCATTGTGGTAAATTAGAAATGGCTTTAACCTTAATAAAATTGTGATTTGTAGAATCTAGTTAAAGCCTGTCCTGGCTTTATAAACTAATCATTGTCTTTATAATCTTGAAATCAGGGGTGATGTCTTTCATTATTTTTGAATAGTGTCTTGCACTTTGTGTGGTCATTAGGAGTTATGAGGAGAAACATTATTAGCGTAACGGAAGTAACTATGTTCTTATTGGGTCAGTAATTATATTAGTTTGGAAAAGCTGAGCCAAAATATGGTTTTCTGATAGATTTCTATGGGAAGATTGCCGCCTTTGACATCCCAGAAGCTCTTGGATCTAGAGAGTATGTGTTCTTGGGGGAGGAGGAGGTCTTCTGCTGACTGGTGAAATTGTGCTGCAGAGATCCAGAAGGGTCCGTGCCCCACTGGGAAACCCTTTGGAGAATCTGGCCCACTCTCTCTGGATTGCTGAAAATCTGTCTAGCTTTTCAGTTCAACTTGTATCATTTGTATTCAACAAATACAGAACAGAGACATCTGTGGTGGAGTAGATGTGTGGTTAAAAGTGAATAGTTCCGATTTGGGAAGGGATGCGAGTTATCGTAAAGTTGAGAAACAATGACTGATGTATGAAGATCATTTCAAAACAACGTCCAGTGTATTCCTCAGATCTATATCTGAACGTATATTACATTTGTTGTTAATTTGCAAGAATATCATAGCAGAATGTTTTGTAGATTAACTTTAACGTTGTAGCTCTTGAGCACTGGTTCTCAACCAGGGGTGATTTTGCTTCCCAAGGCACTTTGGCAATGTCTAGAGACGTTTTTGGCAGTCACAACCAGGGATGGAAGGGGCGTGCTACCAGCATCCCGTGGAGAGAGGCTGGAATGCAGCTAAACTTCTTATGCCACACAGGGCAGCCCCCCCAAAAAGAATTATCTGGCCCTAAATGTCAGTAGTACCGTTGTTGAGAAGCCCTGCTCTAGAGTTTGCATGCTATCTAAACTTCTTAACCTGATATTTAGGGTTTACTCTAGTCCGTCTAGTTTCTGCAGAGCAAGGCCCGTTGGTTCTAATCTACGTGGGTTCTCAGCCAGTAGAGGTGTCCGCTGTTTATAACTTCCTTCTTCGGTATCATTCCATGGATAGTCCACAAATATGTAAGCATGTACGAGCGTATAGGTATAAATACACAGTGGTCAAGTGGTGGCATAGTATACACACTTACCTGTACCTTACTTTTTTTTTTTTCCTTGTCCATATAGAATATATATCAATACACATAAAGGTGTCTTATTTAGTTTTACAGCTACGTAATATTTCACCGTTGGAGGCACCATAATTTATTTAACCAGTATCCTATGAATATCCTTATATGTATATACATGTCAGCTTGCCCTTGTGTGAGGAACAGCTGTATATTTACTGATCTGTTTTGTTTTTTGTTTTTTGTTTTTTAATAGCCTTTCTTTTCCCCCTGTTTCAGAGACCTTCATGTGTTACCTGGCCCCTGCCTCTAGTTCTGATTCTCCCCTTTCTTTCCAGACTTGGCTTAAAGTGCTACCATGGCTGCCCAGAAAGCCCTGAGTTGTCTTCTTCCTTCAGTTCTTCCACTTCTTGGCAATCCACCCTTTTGGAATTTGTTCATTTGCTGCTTTTTAATTTTTTCCACATGTGTTAATCCATTGTTTTCTAATTAGACTATAGGCACTTCTAGGCAGGAGATGTGTCCCGCTCATCTCGTGGCCTCCAGAATACCTCCTAGCACAGGCCTACCTGGAATTTTTTGAATGAGTGAATGAATTCTCTCTTAAATGTGAGCATTCCAGGCTCTCGAATTATGATTAAGATATTGAATGTCATTGGATTATATTCAGTTTTTAAACCCAGTATTTGGCATAATAAATTTTTTTTTATTTTTTATTTTTATGAAACCAGCTTGGATCTAAACCAGCTTTGGTCTTTTAAAGGAGACTGTTTTCCCTTCTCTGCTACCCTCTCCCAGTCTCCTACCAGATTTTTTTTTTTTTAAGTCTCTTGTCAGTTGTGTGTGAATGTGTGTTTTAAAATATACTTGAGCCCTACCTTAGGAGGTGTTAAATCTGTAGCACACATGCTATTCTAGGGCATTAGAAAATTTATTTTCCAGATGGTAGTTTAGGGTTCTCAGAGGTGTAATTTTTTTTTTCATATCTCATGATTTGTAAAATTGTAGCTATTATTTTTACATAGTTCTTAGGTAATGTGGGGGCATTTACAGAGCAGGAGCTAGTGGGGGAGAGTAGAAAGAGAAAGGAATTTGTAGCCACACAAACCTGGGTTCAAGTGCCGGCTCTGGCCACACTTAACTTGCTCCATCACTTTGGACGGAACCCTCCATCTGTGGGGCCCTCGCTTTTTGTGTGGGGCTGAGAGGTACATGGGATCAGGGGAACAGTGGCTATAGTCCTTCCCACCCTGCTCCGTAAATACTCTGCCTAAGTAAATTGTTATGCTTTGCTTGTACATCCAGGCTCTCACCACGTCAGATACATGTACAATCTAGCAAGCGGGGCGCTCACTGCTCTGTGAGAAGGGCTGGAACCAAGGCCCCACTTGGTGTCCTCTCCTCCCTTCCATTTTGCCACCTCTTAGGCTCCTTGTATATTTGGTGCTGCCACTGCCTACTTTCCTCATTTGTATCACACGTGTCCTTTTGGGCTTTTTGGGAGGATTGGCAGTAATGATGTGTATAAAGCTCTTAATAGTCTCTAACACATGGCAGGCATTCAGTCAATAATATTATTATTCTGTTTTGATAATTCTGTAATTATGTACTTGATTTTACAATCATTGGTGGAACCCAAGAGTTCCTGATGGTGGACATAAGATGCTGTCGACTGGATGTGGTATAGTCCATCGCCTTGGTGTGGTGTTCAAATTCTGCAATTCCAAGATGATCCTGTCTGTGGAACATATGCCACTGTCCCCACCTCGTCTGCCTTGTTACTGTAAAATGCAGCTGCTTCACTAGGATTAGTGAAGGAAATGGTGGTGCTTTTAGTGAAATATCAATGAAATGATAGCTAGGTTTTATAAACTAGGATGGGTCATGGACTCCTGATGACATGTTCTGGTGTCAGCACTGTTCGGGGAAGCCTTTGATTTAACCTGATGGGACCTATCCTTTGAGAGTTCCTATCTTGTTAGGGCAAGAAAAGAGTGACAGATAAAAGTAATCTGTGAGTTGTAGAAGCCATTTTTAGCATTTAAATGAAGTCTGGATGCCACCTCCAGGCTGTTAGAATTAAGAAAGCAAAATAGCTCTTTATGTGTAAACAAAATAAAACAATGTAGCACCTCACTTACCTGCAGAAGAGTAGTGTGGGGTAGTGGGGAGAGCCCCAGACAGAAAATGTGGACGGCGCTCTCCTCATTTCTCATCTTCCACTTGACTGGTGGTGAGATCTTGGGCAAGTAATTTCTCTCAAGCCCCAGTTTCTCCTGTTGTAAATGGAGGGGGTTGGCGACAGTCGCCTCCATCTTCCGGCTCTGAAGACTATCTGCTTTTTTGGTCACCTAGAATGGATTCTGCATCCAAAATAGTTGCTTTTATGTATTTCTCATCAGGGCACATCTGATGGAAAAACCAGAATCAGGGCTTGTAGTTCTTTTAGGCTTTGGCGTATTCTGCTTTGTATCATCTCAAGTGTCAGGCTTCTGTCCTTGAGGCAGTATTTTTACCACATTATGCTAATGTTTTCTTTTTGGTTCTGTTGCCATGCATCCATTTGAAAGACTTTTTAGAATTTCTGGCTCTCACAGTAATCTTGTGCTTCTCCGCCCCCCCCGCCCGCCCCAAACTCGAATTCTCTGTATTTTATACTGTTTATATCTACACATCTTCATTTTCAAAAATGTCTCTTTTGGGTATAGTTCAAGTATGAGATGAAATCTCATTGGTGAAGACATTATTTTAGTGAACTCCAGGTAAAGTTTACTGAGAGACTTAGAACTGCACGTTTACATTTTGATGATAAAAAAGGCAGGGGCCCTGCTCTGTCAACAAACTCAAAATCAGGTAGAAGGGATACTAGTGAACAAATAATAAGAAAAATATCATATGTGCATTAATAGAAGTATGTACAAGGCAAGGAAGGAGTAGAGAGAGGGGCGATTAGTCAGACGTAAGTAGAGATGGCCAAGGGAGGCTTTTTACCGAGTAAAGCCTCCGTAGGGTGTTAAAAGGTGAATGCATGTTTTCTAAGTGGCTGAAATAGTGTTGAAAATGAAAAAGAGAATTCCATGATGCAAAGGAATTTCCAAACCCCATAATATATTCAGAGAAACACAGTAGTGCTGTGTTGTTACAGCAGTGTGTGTGTGTGTGTGTGTGTGTGTGTGTGTGTGTGTGTGTTGGGAAGTGGGAGGAGGTGAATGGTGGCAGTGGAAGCTGTAGATGCGGGCCAGATCTTGAAAGAACCTCACAGACAGTGGATAACCATTGAAAAGTTTAAAGCAGTTGAGTGACACGTTGAGGTTTCTATCGTGATGTCAGCGAGCCAGAGACTGGAGGGGGCTGAAATTGAAGGTGGAGAGGAATTGATTGGGGAATTGTTGTTGTAGAGAAGTTGTGGAGGGCCTAAAGCAAG